CTGGCTACATTCACATAATTCACTGAATCACCCAATTGCAAACCAGCCTGCCTGGTTAGTTTATATTTTATGTGCTAAGCAAAACTAATAACTTTCCAGCAGTTAGACTGAAGCTGTGGTAGATGCCTTCACACATAATGGCTGCCACATGTGCATGGTCAGACTCAGTCCCAAAATAGTTAAGCGCTAGAAAGCAAACTTATCTACTCTGAACGTTTTTTTTACCTTACCAGAGAGACCTTTACGAAATTGAAAGGCAGTTTTGCAAATAAGCATAGTGCTATATGGTTGGTATTTTGATCCAATCTAGTTATAAGGAGAAATTTCTTGACAGTGACAATCAATTAATCAATGGAATGGCTTGCCTCCAGAAGTTGTGGGTGTTATAATCACTGGAGATTATAAAGAAAATATTAGTCATTTGTCTGCAATTGTATAGGATCTCCTGCTTGAGCAAGTGGTTGGACTAGTCACTAGAAGACTTCCAAGGTCCCTTCCAACTCTGTTATTCTGTATTTCTGCTTTGGGGCATATTTAGCTCTGTAGATTTAAATTTAATAAATTTTTAACAAGCCAAGTGGATCAGGAAGCAAGAGGTGTCTGGGACATACTTCACCTTTTTAATATCTCTCTTTCCATCCCAGGGAGCTGATTAAGGCAAATACAGCCATATTTCTCAAGTAAAGTTGACATGAGAGTAAACCAAAGTTGGTGGAATGATTTACAGAATAAGCACTATTTTGGGTTCTTCAGAGAAGTATGAGAGTGCCTGCTAATTCCATGCCTATCATAGTGACAGGGTCCTGTAAGATCCTCTCTCCTCTTACATTTATGCCTTCTTCCTTTTTGCCTTGTGCAATTCAAAGAGAGGATAGTGGTGGGAAGAAAAAGTGGCTCAGTTTAGGAATCATTGCTGTAAGTGATAAAAGAGAAAATGTGGGATATGTAGAAAAATATGAGCAACATTGATCTGGTTCTTATCATATGGCCTAGTTTTCAGTGTAGCATAAATTCCACATTTTGGAACATTCTGTTGTTAGCTCACGGCTATCAATGGAACAAGGCATGTGATCCTATTTCAAAAAGAAAACAGCTTCTGCTATTGTTCCACTTATAGGAGTTTCCCACTGTTTTGGCAGCATTTGAAAACATATGGAGAAGAGGTGCTGGTTGTGTTTTTTTTTTTTAAATTCACAGTGAGCTGCTAACTCTCAGCCACAAGCCACAACTGCTTCTGGCACGAAATTAATGCCTTCCCAGGCCCTCTACTCTATTTTTTTGTAAACATAATTTATCTGCTCTGTTTAGCTGAGTGAGAGAGACTGGGTACAACAAGGGAATCTTTCACATGCTGTCTTTTGCCAGGGGGAGGTCTTACACCAGCCGAACTGGAGAAGTTGGTCACCAAATTGGGTCTGAGCTATAGAAAAAAAACAAAAACAGTGGCACGAAGAAGAATGACTTGTCACAAATATGACATACTTAAGGAACTTTGCTAGTTCTGTTTTCCCGACAAAGCTCAAAATATCTCAAAAAACATAATGGGAAAGAATGGGTATAGTGAAATAAAAAGGAAATGATGGGAGGAAGCTGCTGCATCAGTTGAACAGCTGATAAATATGTTGGTAAATATGCAGCTGGTAAATAAACAGCTGGTAAATTCCAGGAATAAAGGTAGCAATCAGGTTTGAATCAAATCTAGTTCTTTTCCAGTTGTGAAGGGTGAATAAAAGCACAACACAATAAATACAGTTTGTGTACCATAATTGTGACCGCAATATAGTCCTGTGCTATATAGTATTCCTCTTCTTTTCAAAATTATAGATGACAGGCTAACAATTTGCTAGTAGATTTAGTATTTTAACAGTTTGAAATTTTCTTAGTCTGTTTCAATAGGAGTGGCAAACTAATATTGTTTTATACTAGGGAGGTGTACACAGTATATGTTAGTTTTAGTTATTTTTTTAAGACACTTTTTTGTTAATGTCTTTTTTGTTGTATCTTTTCTTTTCTTTTTAAAAATATTGTGGTGTTTTATATTTTAATCTTTTTGAATAAATTAAAAACTTTGAAAAAGTGCTTTTCTTCTGAATAAATATTTATTAGTTCAGAAATAATAAACATAGTCAGGATGCAGCCACTTCAGTCTTTCACGCCCATACATGTTATTTGCTAAAATACAGCAATTTGAAATCATCTTATTCAGTGAATGCTGGAAGAGGACATTTTACTGTTTGTATGTACAAGTGAATTTTCAAAACGACTGGCTGTTTACTTCACTTTTGTATTGTATTGAAATACTACGAGTTCATGAAAGTATCTTTTAAACATGCACTGATTTTCCATGAGTGGTATATTCTGCTGCTACTCTCTCTTCCAATGCAGATTTTTCCCCCCAAGAGATTTTATGCTGTCCCAACTGTAATTAGTTTTTGGAGATCATAATACAGTAGACATTTATTATTATATTCAAGTGGGAGAAGAATCACTCTCTAAAACAGGGGTGTCCAACCTTGGCAACTTTAAGACTTGTGGACTTCAACTCCCAGAATTCCTCAGCCAGCAAAGCTGGCTGAGGAATTCTGGGAATTGAAGTCCACAAGTCTTAAAGTTGCCAAGGTTGGACACCCCTGCTCTAAAAGTTGCTGAGTGACAACTCCCAGCAACCTGAACCATCATGGCCACAGGTAAGCCATCCTGGCAGCCGGCACTCAGCAATACCCAGAGGCCAGCAACTTCCCTATATTTGTAGGAGAAACAACACATATATTTATTTTTATTCACGTATTCAATTTTTATAGCCGGTGAACTCAACCAAGTAACCCTGCTATTTATAGACTCTGGATTTTCCACATGAGGAGAATATTCCAGAGTTATATTTTTTTCTCCTATATAGTTGCAATAAGGACATCTTGTCTTTTCTGAATTCTTTTGGCAAGAGACAAGGTATTTAAAATACTGTCATATAACAGATATATAATATTGATCCAGATTATTGGATTTTAATTCTGTTAACTTTCATAGCCAGCCTTTGTTTATGTTTATTTATTTAATTTATATGCCACCTATCTCACTATCAAGTGACTCTGGGTGGCATTTAGCTTAATTTAATTAAATTGATGTTGGTTTAATGGCTATGGGAACTGAAATACAATACATTTGGAGACCACCAGAGAATGTGAAAGGCTTACTTTAGTCCTTCATTTAGACCCATGATGGTGCAGTGGTGGCGCATTCTTAGCATGCAGTATTGGCGGCTGGCGGCTCACTGCTAGGAGTTTAATCCTAACAAGAGTCAAGGTTGACTCAGCCTTCCATCCTTCTGACATTGGTAAAATGAGGAGCCAGATTGTTGGGGGCAATACATGGACTCTGTAAACTGCTTAGAGAGGGCTATAAAACACTATGAAGCAATATACAAGTCTAAGTGCTATTGCTATTCATTTCATTTATTTATTTGGAACATTTATATTGCTATATAAATTTGAATCACAGATGACTCAAGGTGACTTACAGGAAATAAAAACACAATATAAAAGAAATAAAAATAATAAAAAATAAAAATAATAAAATGACCTGTCATCCCTCTATCCCGGTGACAACACACACTCATACCAGCCATTTAATAGGCTCTCTCCCACTAGGTTCCCCAGGCCCACTGGCAGAACCACATTTTCAAGGCCTTCTGAAAGTGTGTCAGGATAGGGGCCAGTCTAATTTCTGGAGGGATGATGTTCCAGAGGGAGGGAGCACCATGGAGAAGGCCCTTCTTCTGGGTCCTGCCATATGTATCTCCGTAGGGGATGGGACCCACAACATTCCTTGCATCCTCACTCTAGTGGGTCAGGTGGATGTGACTGGCAAGAGACGGTCCATCAGATAACCTGGTCCCAAACCATTAAGAGCTTTAAAGGTGACAACCAGCATCTTGAATTGCACCTGGAAGCAAATTGGCAATCAATGCAGCTTCAGCAGGAGGTGCCACATGTGCACACCAAGGTCTGCATTTACAGGTACAATGAAGACCTGAAGTTAATCCTCAGGCAAATAAAACATGAGAATAAGGATAATAATTTTGTGATTATTTTATCAAAATAGTATTTTAATTTAAAGCATGAATTTTTCAGTGCACAGACTCTTAATGATCAGTTCAGATGGATATATTGGAAACCATAATAGTTTGTTAAATCCTTGCAGAAACTGAGTACACTATAAAAAGACACCAGGCTGCTGACTTCAGATGACTGGAAAAGGACCACAAATTGTTAATAATTTCCATATTACAGGGGAGGGAGAGATACTAGTGCTTAAATATATACATACAATTTAGTACTTAAATATTAAATATATTTTAAACAATTTTGATACATTGATATACATACAAAATGCTGACAATTAGCATCACCTTTATTAATATAAGCAATAATAAATGTTTGCAAAATCAATAAACTGATATTCTGAAATTTTGTGAGGCGCTGTGTATTGTGAAAGTTTATTCCTAAATCCAGCACTGCCTTCAGGACTAAGCTATCCTCACTGTCTGTTGTGTCCTGCATTTTGAGGAGTGGTAGGTGTCTGAATGAGGATTTCTTTTCTAAATGTGGTATTTTATCAAGCAGAAATTTGCCAGGCACGACTCTTCCCTGCAGGGAGTATCGGTATGCTCCATCTGTTGTATTTCTATCGGTTAAACAGTTCTTACAGAAGATTGTCCGAATCAAACCGCACTTGTGGGTAATGCTCACTGGGAATTGTACCATAGTCCAATAGAAGAGGAAGGCACTGGACTGTGAAAGGCTGTTTTACTTATTCATCCTTGAAATAATTTTGGTCATAATTTCGTCTCTCAGGCAGCTTGAATCAGCTGTGAATATCGTTAACACGGAACAGAAAACCTGAAAGGGCCCATCGAATCACGGCTGGTTGAATTTAAAATTAGTCGACGCGGCTGGACTTCTTTTTGAGACTTAAATTAACCCCGGGCGAGTTAATTAAGCTACCTCTCACGTCCCGTGTGGACGAGTCCGATTCCTTCCCAGGGTCAGTGCGCGAGAGCGCGAACGATCCGAAGCAAGCTACCTCACCACGACCAAGGCGGATCTTCGGAAATTCCTACGAGGGAGAAAAGCAGCATAACCCCGCCTCTTTACGAGGCGGGCTTCGGCAGGCTTTATGTAGTCTTGCAGGAGCGCCAGAGCTCAGAATTGCGGACCAGAGGGCGCTTTTCCTTGAGCGGCGAAGGGAGGTGAGCATTGCGTCTAACCCACATCCCCCCCCCCGTCCTGTTTGCAGGGAAGGTGCTGGGCTATGGCATCAGTGCTGTATGGGCGTGTGGTTCGGATGCGTTTATGAATATATGGTCCCGTTTTATAGGAATATCAGAGTTCTATTTATCTCCCTACCTGGACTGGGGGGGGGGCTGTTTAGACAATTCCAGACGCGCGCAGGTACTGTCAGGTTGGTTTTTTTTGGAGGGGGGTGTTTCGGGCTGGGATTATGTTCGTATCTTTTGATATTTGCTATCCCCCCCTTTTTTGGGGGGGGGGATTAAGAGACTCTCGATGGAGCATCACGGCCTCTTACGATGGGCTAGTTATCCAATCCACCGTATGTAGTCTGTGAGTATGAAATGGAAGGTTGTCTGGCGAGGGAAGGAATCTTCCGATGGACCTGAACCGAGTAGCCGTAGTGATTCTCTGCCTTCCCCGCCCTTTTGATCCCGATTATAGCAGATTCTGCATTCCCTTAGAGACGACCTCGTCCTTCCCCCCCGTTCTTTCCACCTCCTCTCGCTGCTCATTAGGTGGATGGTGGGGTTGTTTTTCGCGCTTTTCCTCCTAGCTCCCAGGATGGCCAAATGAGATTAGACTCGTTTTTGGAAGGGAGAGCGTCGGCCGAGCCGCTTCTTACCCAAGCTCTTCAGTCTCTTCAATGAGTGAACTTTGAATTGTGGTCGATTTGCCCTCCTAATTCCCGAAAGGCGGAGGACAGAAACGGGCTGCGATGTTCTTGTCTTTGAGTACAATTTACTCGCTCGCTCGCTCCTTTTTTTTTTTTTTTTTTACACCAAAATTAAACGTCGCAGCAAAAGGAGAAGTAGCAGGTTTGGGCTGATAATCGGAGAGACGTTCTTCGGGGGAAAAAAGAAAAAGAAAAAAGGGCAGGAATACTTCTGTCAGCAAGAGTTTTGTTTCCCGGAGGCGAAACTGATTTGTGCGCTCTTCCTAGAACCGGGTGCGTGCGTGTCTAATAGGGTAGTGGTGATGCCCACGGCCATAGCCGAGTCCTGTATAAGAGGAACTAAAGGAACCTTCTCCCGCCTCACCAAAAGGGGTGCTCTTGGGTCAGCAGCTGCGCTTCAGTTTTGCCTAGGAAAGGCGTCTGTCAGGGCATGCCCTGGCGTGGAGGAGGAGGCGGCGGCGACTGCCGCTTGCGAGAGGGTGGGGAAGTCAGGCGGCGGCCGGGAGTGATTCAGTGACAGTCACTCTCTGGGGCTGATGTAAGAGAATAGGCCCGGCCCTGCCAGTTTGGGGACGTTTAGAAACGCCTTCGTTTTGATTAGGGAGACAGGCCACCTTCCTGGCGAAAGCGACGTCTTTCGGGCGTCCTTCCCTAAGGTCTCCTCTGCTCCTGTGAGCAGAAATAGCCCGTGTCACTGGGAGGGGTGGGCCGTTTAGACGCACGAGTTCTTCCGACTCTCCGCCCAGCCCCGCCGATGTTCTTGTCTCAGTTGGGAACTCCTTGTTCCCAAACGGAGTTTTATTTTTGTTCTTGCTCTGTTTAGAGAATCGGCCCGGCTTTTTTTTTGTTTTGTTTTTTGTTTTAAGAGTCGCGCGCAAACTCGGGCACGCGCTGGAGGCGGCGGCAGGAAAGCGGCTAGACGGAGGCTGGTTTTGTTTACTGGGTCCGAGTTACGAATTCGTGCCTTCCAGCAGCTGTGATATTCTCGTCTTTCCCCCTCCCCCCTCCCCACTACTAAGGTTGAGGGGGAGAGATAGGGAGTCAGGTAGAGACCATAAAGCTGCTTTAGAAAGAAACGCCTAGACCAGCTTTCTTTCTTTCTTTTATGGAGACTGAGCCTAAAATCCCCAAAAATGCCACTTCGCGTTGCGTGGGTTGCGCCTGGCGTTTTCTCATCCCTTTGCTCCTGTTAACCAAGGCGGTTGGGTAGGGTGAACGCACCTCAAAAGAACTTCCAACCGTAAGCCCCAAAGCGAGGGGGGGGCGATATGTGTGGGAAGGAAGGAAAAGAGAGGCGGAGCCGTAGTAAATTCGGTGCACGTTTCCCATTTCCTGGCAGCAAATCCTGTCGGTGTGTGTGGCAAGTGCGATTTCGCAACTTCCAAACCGGCACGTGACGCGGCTGCTGTGGTACCAGATGACGTAATTCCCCCCCCCTACACACCCACACACCCACGGGACGAGCTTCGGGAGCGTCTCGCACATCTCCTCGGCTCCTCCCGTGGTTGATAAGGAAGTCCCCCCTGTTTGCTTTCCTCCGGGGTCGAGTGGAAGGGTCTGCTTTTAAGAGAGGGAGAAAGAAAAACGTCCGACAAGACGGGAGGTTTCCAGCGTTGAAATAAAGCGGACAATCGCGCGGCCAAAACTTTTTGTGTTTTTTGCAGCCGCGAGACGGGTTGCTGAACTGCTGGAAGGGCGGCGGCGAGGGGGAGGGCGGGCGGGCGGGCGAGAGAAGGGGGATAGCTACTGTTTCAACAATGGTGACCTAAATTTTGATTGGCTGCCTCTGGCAGAGAACAACCACGGTAAATTCAAGTTCGCAGGGTGACGGGAGGCTAAATGTGTGCTGCGATTGAGAGGGCTACGTCTTCTGTTATTTCCTTCCACCAGTAGGCGTTATTATCTACAAAGATCCGTCTCCCCTGATACAGAAGTGGCAAATGGATAGCTTACAACAGCCAAAATTAAGGAGTTGTAGTCCGACATTTCTGGAAAGCCTTGGTGACGAGTCCAGAGCAATCAGTTTCCATAGGTATGGAGCGAAGTTGGACTACTAGCCAAGTGAAACATTAGTTTTGGCAGCTGTGTGACAGGCAGCAAGACTGGATCCACGCTGTAAGTTGTAATGCGGTTTCCTGCTTTGTGGTTTAGCATGTTATGCGAATTCCACCATTATGGTTTGTAACCAGGGTTAGTGGCTTGAGGTAGGGTGGGAACCAAATCATCGGTAGTGGAACCACTGCTGAAAATCTTTAGTGAATGACAACGTGTGAACAAATCCAAAGAACAATGGCATAATATACTTAGTTATTGCTTCCTGAATCAGTAAATAGATGGGTTCAAGGCACACACTACACCAGTGGTTCCAAAGAGGGTGGAACTGTCCCCTGGGGGGCAGTGGATGACTTAGGAGGGTGCTAAGAGGCAAGCTAAGAGGCAGAGGAGTCCTGGAGGTGGGCCCCTCGCAGGGCGCAATTCAGGGGTGGGATTCTACCAGTTCGCAAGAACCAGTTGTTACCGTTCCAGGTAGTTCGGAGAACCGGTAAAATGGGCCCCTGGCTGGCCCCACCCCTCTCTGTCCGCTCCTCCATTACCTGCCCAGTCAGTCCTTATTGTGCAACAATTAATGATGGCATTCACCCCCGCCCGCCCCACCCTTATATAGCGCATGCGCGCTCACTTCCCACATTTTCCCGCCCGCCGCCATCACTTCTAGCAGCCAGCCAGCCAGCCAGCCAATCAGCCAGCCCTCACTGCATGCCTTCCACCATCGGATCTCCCTAGGTGAGTGAGGCTCTGCAAGGCCCGGTTGCCTACATGCTGCTGCCAGCCCCAGTTGAGTCCCAACTCCCAGGCTGGCCAAGGCCGCCACCGCCATGCCGCTGCCACCCTCAGCGTTCAAGCTTTCCCCCCACTCCACTTTCCTAGCTTGCTTAGCTGCCAGCACCAAGGCTCCATGCAGCACTCATGTACTAGCAAGCTTTCCCCCACCCCACTTGCCTGGCTTGCTGGTGGCTGAGAGGAAGGGCTGACCCGTTGCCGCTTGAGTCCCACCTGGATTCTCCGCAGCTGCTGGGCCTTGCCTGCTAGGGGCAGTGGAGGCGACCAGGAAGCATGATGCTATGCCTCCCGCATCGACCCTTGCCTACTGCCCCTTCCCTCTGCCCCCCGCCAGCCTGCGCGCTTTGGCTGAATGCTGGCCGGCGTTGTGAGAATGATGCGAGTCAAGCCTCACGAGAGCTGATATTCCACCCATGGAGCTTGCATAGTGGCGGTCTGCACTCGACTAAAATGCTTGGGGGGGGGCAGCTGGCAGAGGGGTGATGCAGGTGGCGTAAGCCTTGTGCTTCCTGGTTGCCTCCCGCATTCCCCCTCAGCAGCTGCGACCCGCAAGCCCCAGCAGCTGATGAGATGCAGGCTGGCGGGGAACCAAATAGCGATGGGTCTGCCCTGACTGGCTCACTTTTTCCTCTGCCACCAGCCACTGAAGTTTGGGCTACCTACAAACTTATCTTCCTCCCACGGCTGATGGCAGAGGGAAAGGTGAGCCAGTCAGGGTGGGTTGGCTCACCTTTCCTGCAACTCACTTCTCCTACAGCTCCTGCTTGCAGTTTCCAGCCCTTTCCCCAAAAGAGGGAGGGGTGGAAGTCCTGCCCGTGGTCTCTTTGTTGGACCTAGAAGCCTTGCCTGCCGGCTTTTCCGGGCAACGCGGGGGACCGGGCGTGAATGGACAATTGTTGCTGGTCCCTGGGACTCACAAGCAATGCTGCCAGGTGACTACCTTGTTAGAAGCGTGTGTGTGTGTGTTTCAGATGGGTCTCCTAGCTAAGGAGGAGAGCAAAGGAGGAAGGGAAGGGATAGAGGGAAAGAGAAAGAAAGAGAGAGAAAAAGAGGGAGGGGAGGAGGAAAAAGTGAATGGGATATATGGAGGGAGGGGGAGAGAGAGAAAGAAAGAGGGAAAGAGAGAGAGAGAGAGGAAGAGACAAGAAAGAAAAAGAGAAAAGGGAAAGAAAGAAAAAGAGAGAAAGGAAGAAAAGGGATAAAGAGGGGATGGAAGGAAGGGACAGAAAAAGAAAGAGAAAAAGAAAAGAAAGAAAGAAAGCAAGGAAGGAAAGAAAGAAAAAGAAAGAAAGAAAAAAGAAAGAAAGAAAG